GCCGTCTGTTTACTCACAAATAGATCATAAGTAAAGAAAAAGTTCAAAATATTGATGACCTTGCTGCAGCTCAAAAACTCAAAATATTTTAATATAAACATGCAGAAAGTGATTGTTATATATAACTAAATACTTGTATTTTTAGTTGAGCCGTTTGAGTCTACGTAGCTTCGTATATTTCATTTAAAACGAGTTTCTTCAATGTTTCTTTTTAAGTGGCATCAACAGCTTTGATTATTAGATAGCTAATATAGATTATATAAATTTACAATGGCAAAAGCTGTGCCTAACAAAATAATACAAAATACATATATATTGTTCAATTGAAACATGACATTTTTTTAAAAAAATACAGGGTTAGTTTTTCTGTGAAGGTATCAATTCCTTAATAGCTACGTATGTACGTATGTTCTTAGCGCGACAGCCTGTGAACTGGCTCAGGCCTCGTGATCACGGGTTAAGGGGGAACGTGGGGTTAGCACATAGACATCCCCACGCCGTATTCCGGTCTTCGCAACCTGAGAAGTGAGTTCTCTCAGAACGCACAGCAACATACACTGGAATATTGCAAGGAAAACGCACACTATAGTCTCGGATCGACCGGGAGTCGATCCCGTGGCCGCGTAGTGGAAGTGAGCACGCTGACCAGGTGCTAGGCACGAGCCTAATAACTTTTTACAGAGCTATGTATTTCAATTACAATATTACTTAGTTTTCAGAATTGTAATATTTTTCTTTGATAATCTTCGAATTTTAGTACAAGTTCTTTCTCTTGCACTCACATTTTGTGACCAGCCCCTGATACGCTGAAATAACGGACATTGTTATAAAAAATGGTAAATGTTGAGAAAAGTGTTGCAGGGAAAGGAGGTAGAAAAATTTGAACACTACATTATTTCCATTCTCTGTCTCTAGTAAAGATATATTTTCATTTATTTATGCGGTAAGCCCCATTACTTTGGACATCCTTGCTCAGTTTTCTGCCTCAAATATTCTAAAACAACACTTTTTTGTTCTATAAAGGTATTGGCGAAAACATAAATAACAGCATTACTTTTTTTGTCATTTGAGGTTTCTCTCGTCCAAATTCAGCTTACATTATATTTTTTGTGAGGTGAATTCATACGTTTAAAGCTTCGTTTTGTCCTTTCCTCTTTAACTTTTTATAGATTTTACTACAGTTAAAAGGAGGTATCTTGTTCATACTCCCAGTCAGACTGTAGATCGTGGCACATTGTTTTGAACTAATAATCTAAGTAAAAGAGGAGACAGAAGATTTTAACTGAATTTTGAAAGATTGAAGGCGAATTTTATTTTGTATTTTTGAGATTTCGAAATGGGCAATGCTCATCAAAAGGCCCCTCCGTCCAAGCTGCAACACGTGAATTCAAGAGGTCCCTGGTTGGCCGCGAGGGCGCGGAGGTGGGGAAGGCGGGAGGTAAGAAATTGGGGGCGGCGTATTACTCTGCGCGCCCTGGAGGCCATTTGTCATAAGCCTCCTGCCACCGCCCCCCCCCCGCCGGCGGCGCCAGAAGAATAGCAGTGCGCCCTGGTGGCACTCCCATAAATTAGTTCTTCCTTTGTCGGGCTGGCTCGTTCCCTACTGTTCACTCTTGGAGGAGTGTGAACAGTATTTGCAGTCGTTAGAGAATTTTTTTTTTCGTTGCATCTTTTCATCTTCCTTTCTCTTTCCCTCTCCATCGCTCTCTCCCTCTCTTTTTCAGTTCTAGTGAGCGATTCCATCGCGCCCGCCGCCCACTTAATAGTCCCTCGCGTCGCTCCTTCCCGCGCTTTTTGCTTCGCCCGCGCGTCCATTTTGCCGCGCGACGCCGCGGCCAGACGCGCTTTCAGAACGCGCGCCGGAATACGGAGGGCGCTTTCAGTTCATTTCCCTCCGCCCCGCGCGCCGATGCTTTGAAAAGCCCCGCAGCTTTCGAGCGGCGCTGCAATCGATGCTTAACTGCGGCCGGATCGGCCTGCTCGACTTGGATTAGTGGCCGTCCTCGCGGTAATTACCAGCTCTCCGCTGGGCGGTGATGGGATGTCTGAATGGAGCAGATCAGAATGCCTTCTTCCGATATTCAGAGAAGAAAAATTAAGCGGAAACGGCGAGTGGAAATCTCGGGTTTTCACTCGCTATCGGAGCATCATTTTGAAAGGTTGTGCCTTCAGAGGCTCCAATTCGCAAAGAAATCGCATTACTATTCAGCAATAATTAAAGTACTATATACGAGGAACGAATGGCATCTTTTATTGCTGCCAAGTTGTTTGTAAACGGTATTCACTCACTCTTGAAGTACCAGTCAATTTAACGCAGTGCCATGAACGTTTCTAGGATTGCAGTGTTTCTAATGATTTCGTGGTTTCAAAGATACTCGAATTCTTATGAAAGCAAATTTTCACTTGATCATTCAAAACTATCTAGGTATTGTGTGTACAAGGATTCTATAAGGACTCAATGGAAAGAGGTTATTAAACAAATTAAACAAAAAGTTAATTTAGGGGCCAATAAAAGATATAAAGGTCTTCATGGAACATTGATAGTCGTATCACTGAAAATCCATGTACGTGGTGATAAATTTAACTTTATAGACAATTACAGCGGTCAAAGAGTTGTATGAATATCATGTGTTCACTATGTTGTATGAAATTGTGACACAAATATATGTATGTACTTACATAAGAATGTTTATGAACTTACATATAATATGTATGTATAACATAAACATGATAACTATATACAAGTTCTGAAGTGTGTCATTAATCAATAGGCCGAGTTTTCGCAACAACACAGTTTATTTAAACCTTCTTAACAAATTTAATTAATCCAATGAGGCAACAACGTCAACTAACTGATTTTTTGAAGTGAGCATAACCCAGCTCAGAGAAAATGAACCGTCCATCAGAAGATGTACAGTTGCGTAGCTCTGTCACCCAAACACCAACAAGGCATAATCCTGAGACGCATCTTCTGTCGACGTACCACACTCGACTCACACACTTCCTTTGCGTTCCTGAAGACCCAACCCTGCCCGCTCTGCCCGCTAGAGGAACCGGCTCGCTGCTGCTCCAGCGACCTTCCAAGAGCGCGAGCTGACCGTGGCGCGCGCACGGCGAATTTAAAAGTTGTAACTCAACCGTACTCAACAAGTTGCTTGTTTAACAAGGAATTACGTAATAACTATTCTGAATATTAACATATTAACTGTACTTTATTTATACATATTAACTATTTTTTTTATATTTTCTATTAACTACTTACATGTATTCACATATTTTGTTTGGGATCAGTTGAGAACAAAAGAATGAGACTTCCAAATCTTCGGTCTCTTAAAACATCGAGAGCTCTTGCGGTTCTTACGAATTATTCGCGTCTCAATATTTCACAAAGATGATCAATTGACAAACTGCAAGATGAAAATGAATATACAAAGATGAACGTTTAGAATGACGAACGTAAGTATCGGAAACATTCTATGAAAAGCTGCCCGAAAACGCTTTCTCTACCTCATATTTGAATGAAAAATTGAGTGTCGTTTCAGGTCTGGTTACCGGAAGAACAAGGTGTGAGTATTTTCAATCGTGAGTGATTGCTCGACCAAAAATAATCCCGTTAATCATCTGTTTATTTTTATCGTAAAAAACTGTTGAAATGAACTATGGGGAGAATTGCAGTCTATAGTCGGTTTTTAGGGTTTTGAAATGTCTGCCTTAACTGATGCGTATTAAGTTAAATAATGAAAACAGGATGCAACGAGTGTTTTGGCAAGACCTGGTAAGAAAATATTCGTTCATGTGTAATAAAAACAATTTTCAAAGGCAAATTACCTTCAGATTTTAGTTACTATTCCCTATCATCCCCTTCGTGATGGAATCGACTTATTACCGCGACAATACGGAGAATGATTATTTGCTAAACTACATTCCACAACGAGTTCCAGAAAACATACAGAGATAGTGAAGCAACATTTATGCTCACAAGCAAAACAAGATACTATCTCATCATTTGGTCAAAGGACCAGGGAAACTGACAGAAAACCTGATAGAGAGAGGATCATTGACCCAGAACCTGGGATACAACACTTCTTACAGGCCTATTTAGTCTTGTAGAATTATACAGTCTAAACGGTAACATACGCATTAAATGTCATTGTTAAAATCAATATTATTATCGGCAGTATAACAAGCGTAGTAAATATCATCGGCAGTATAATTCAACTCTTTTTCGTTTGACCTGCGTACGTAGTACAGAAGGGTGACGAAAGGCATATTTAATCTTTTAGAATTATACAGTCTAAGAGGTTAGATACGCATAAAATTTCATTGTTAAAATCATTATTATTATCGGCAGTATAACAAGCTCTTTTTCGCTTGACCTGCGTACGTAGTTCAGAGGGAAGTCTGCTCGACCTGAAGAACTGCCGAACTCCGAGAGAGTAAGCCGCGGATGGTCCAGTGGCAGCGGAAACGAGGGCGCGAAATAAGCTCGGTTAGCAGCTTGGTGGAGCGCTGCGGTCGTCGGCGGCGGCGGCGAGGCAGCGGTCGTGACTCCGGTCGCCATGGCAACGCGCCTTGCCCGCCCCCGCCTCCGCCGACCCATCCCGTGCCCGCGTGCGCATCCGCCGCCTCCTGTCATTTTGAGAGGTGATTAAAAGTTGCAGCGACGCCGAGAGCGGGGCGCGCCGCCCGGGCGGGGCGGGGCGAGTCGAGGATTATGGTTGACGAAAATATTGAGCGAGTCACACGGTTCCTAGGCAGCCGCCCCCGCGGGCGCCGCGGTCGCTTCCTTTCGAGTGAATGGGGCAGCGCCGCGCTCGCTGCTACGAACGCGGTGGCCGATGCGAAAAAAAACTATTGGCTCATGCAATTTTAACTTTCCTCTGGTCGCCCCCTAATTTGGCGTACACCACGTTGTACTCGATACAACGTTCACGTACATGATTTTCAAAATAATTTTCTCTGCTATGATATTGTTTTTGTTACGGTTGTTGTATATTCTGTTACGGTGTATTGTTGTTGTTATGGTTACGTATTGGTGTACTATCATCTCTGAAAGCATAAAAAGAATTCAATGAAACATGTTTTTTTATAAAGCAGAAGTCCATGTAGATTTACTAACAACAACTTTTTCTTTCTATTCAATGCCACTAATAACAATTTTTAGTTTATGAATACACAGTGTGTGAATTACACTAAAGTCCCGGAAAAAGTATGTTCAAAAAAGTTCAATCAACAAAAAATGTATTTTTTTGACTTGTTTCTCGTGTCGTTAATATTAATATTAACGGAAATTTCTTTACATTATTATATTTATGAGTGCATATTCTTTAAATAATGACCTATAAAATTTCTAGAAAACTCAACCGTTTCCTGTGAAAACTAACTCAAAAATAATCATATTCAAAAACGCCCAATCGCCATTTTCTCAAAAACGACTAAATTTTTTCTTCAAACTTCTCGAAAGGCTAGTGCTAATTGCACTCTTTAATACCATGTAAAGGGGGAACTTGAAGGAATCGTTTTGTTTTTTACAAAATAGCACAAATAGAATTTTTTGAAAGAACTCTCAAAACGGTAATATGCACATTTCTAACAATTTGTAATCACTATAGCATTTGTGAGTTAATATACTGCAAATACTTCAAATTAAGGTTTTCGGAAACTCAAAACTTTTCTGTGAAAAAGTGCTTCAAATTTCGAATTTACTGTTGCGCTTAAGCGCCATTTTCTTAAAAACAACTGCATATTTTTCAAAGAAAATTACCATTTAGGACGAGATTTTACTATTCTTTAATATTCTTAAAATAATGTTTCCGTTCTGTTATTACGAAACCGAAACATTAAGAAAAGTTTTAAAAAACTGAACTATGGGCGGCGATAGATGGCTGCTGGCAAAAGTATGTGACGAGTTCGAAGAGCTCGCAGAGACCATAGAAAATAGAAAACTAATACACGAACGTGAGATCGTAAGCTTCCGCATTCGGAGTCAATATTTAATTGGCTGTCCGGGTGGTGCCGCGTCTATGGCAATACGCCCTGAAAAAAAGTCGCAGAATAGCCACAGAAACGTCGGCAGCTTTGGTCGTCGGCACAAATGAAATAATAAGGGAAAGTCTGTCCAATCTGCAGCACCACACAACTAGTACATATTGTGCAACTCGAATTAATATTAGTGAATGTAAAATATAATTATATAATAAAGAAATGCTCTTCAAAGAAAATTGTTTTCATAGACACAAAACAAAGAATCTACATGCAACGTTTTATTTACTGTAGCTGCTATATGATTATGCACCAGAAGATATACAGTGAACCAGCAGTGGCTCAGAGAAGTTACATGGCACAGACTCTCTGCAGTGACAAACGGGACTTGTTTCACGTGTTGAGAAATTTGTAGAAGTTTCTCTGAGTTGCGTATACTGTGGCGATGTAAGAGGATAATTATGATAAATTAATCTACTTTACTTGACAAACTCGAGGTGCCACGGATGTAGAACGTTTAATTAGTATGATGTTGCATTTCAACACTAGCGGAGTACCACAATAGTTGCAAAGAAAACTCAATGCATAAATCATCTAAATTTTTTCAACACAAAAGTTACTTAAGATAATTATTTTTATATGCAACACGCTCGACACTATCGACACAAAATTCCGTAAGTCTGACTCCATTTTAACAGCATTGTATCGTATTGTAAATGGTATATAGGTAGAACAAGATACGAGAAATTGAATGGAGAAAACCAGAATACGTTAAAAATAATAGTTTCAGAAATACATGCGAAATCCGACTGCAGCTAAATGCGTAAAGTCAAAATACCCCCCATTTCGTGACAAAAAATCAGGGTATCGTATTGAAAACTGGTGTATTAGTAGAACAAGTCAAGAGAAATTGAATGCAGAAAACCAGAATCCGGTCAAATTAATAGTGACAAATTGGATAAAAAATTAATTTCAGAGTATCGTATTGAAAACCGGTATATTAGTCGAACGTGTGGTATATTAGTAGAAGAAAGAATCCCACGAGATTAAAAACCTTGACCGAAAACCAGTCTTTCAAAATCAGCCACAACAGACAAACCCGACGCAATGACCTCTCATAAATCTCTGGTTTTCAAATCCTCAAAGACTTAATATCCGAGTCCCCCCGCTATCGAACAACAAGCTCCCTCTACACCCAGGACAGATAATAACTACAATTATCAACCAAGTAATAAACGCACTAATTCCACAAATATTAATATTATTACAAACAACTCTCGATAATGTACGTAAATAAAAATCCCGAAACAAAAATTTTCAACTGGAACGCGAATGGAATAAAATGGCAAGAAAGTCAATTACGAAACTATATAACAAGCCTTAACATCTAAATAGCTTATATTTCAGAAAATCACCTGTTACCACAGATCAAGTTCTCAATACTAGGTTTTAATATCTATCGCAACGACCGTTTCTCAGCGACGGCCGCAGGAGGAGTGGCCATACTAGTGCACAAAGATATAAAACATTCGTTAATTAATAGTCATACGAGCAACGACCTAGAACGTATAGCAATAAAAACCAAAATAAGTAACAAAGACATAATCATTATATCGGCGTATAAACCTAATAATAAGCTATTCCCTAGAAAAATATATACTGAAATTGTTGGAAATAACGATAATATCATGCTAATAGATGTCCTTAATAGCAAACACTGCGATTGTCGATGCAACACAATTCCTCAAGGGAAAAATTTACTAAATCTAGCTACCACTCTCAATTTAAGTATTCTGGCTCCAACAAAACCCACCCATTATTCTTAGAACAATAATATAATACCTGACATATTAGATATCCTCATCCCAAAAAATATTGATTTCCCGCTATACCAAAAAGTAATTCCTGATCGCGATTCGGATCACAACCCAATAATCATATCACTTTATCCTCTCTATCTATGATCTTATTATAAACAGCAAAAAGGTAAAATTAACTGGTTTAAATTCAGGGAAATTCTAAAAATTATCTACAAACATCCGCAAAACATTGAATCATAAAAGGACTTAAATAATGAAGTAAAACGATTAGTCAACAGCATACAAGGATCCCTCACAAATTCTACCACATATCTCAAAATAACAAACCTAATAAACAAGCAACAAATCCCAATAAAAATCATAAACCTAATTAAAAGTAAACACAATTTAAGACGCTATTGGCAAATGACACGACGACCAGACTTAAAAATAAAATTAAAGAAACTGACGAGACTAGTAAAAACTAAACTAGACCAATATAGACATGCAAGCTTTCAGACTTTTCTAAAAGAAATTCACCTATCATCTAGGCATATGTGGTCTACCATACATAGAATAAAAAGACAAAAAGAAGAATTTCCACAAATAAAACTAGGTTCAGAAGTGGCAAATTCTGATTTTGAGAAAACATATCTTACAGCTGGCTACCTTGAAAAGTCGTTCAACCCAAACCAGTCGAAAACGATCACTTTAATAAAGAAGTTGAGGAATTCAATCAGAAAGCACTATATACAGCTCCAATCAATATAAAGTACATATCCCCATCAGAAATTAAACAAGAAATCAAAAAATCAAAAACTAAGAAATCAGCAGGATACGACTTTATTTCTAATAAAGTTCTAAAAGAACTAAATAACAATTCGATAGTAGGCATTACAGCAATATTTAACGCAGCATTCAGAATAGGTTACTTTTCCAACGATTGGAAAATTGCAACAGTGCTACCAATAGCGCTTTACGCCGACGACACTGCACTCTTTTCAAAGCATGGGGACATTATGACAGCTAGGAATAACTTACAAGACGACCTTGACATATTCAATAAATGGGAAAAAATTGGAGAATTAAAATAAATCCAGATAAAACACAGGCGAAACTTTTCACCCTAAGACATCCCCTCACCCCTCCGCAGTTAATTTTGAACAACGAAAATATTCCCTGGGCTGCAAATATTACAGCAGCCAAATATCTAGGAATGCAACTTGATACAAAATTAAATTGGAAAACTCTCATTTACACAACAGGAACAAAAACACAAGCAAAACTTTCCCAACTTTACGCACTAATTAACAAAAAATCTTCTCTTAAAATAGAGACGGGAATGATAATATAAAATATATTGTATGTTACAAACTATACAAAATAAAGCGCTAAGAACTATAATTAAAGCCCCATGGTTCATTTCGAACAAGCAAATCCACCACGAACTGCAAATTCCGACAATAAAAGAACACATTACCAAACTGTCCGAAGACTTCTTCACATCACTCCCCTCATCTCCCAGCACCTTCATTTTCAACCTTGGACGCACAGCAGAACCGAACTTACGCATCAACTCACGTTTCCCTAAAGACAGATTCAGACCACCATAAAATATCAGAAAATGGGCATCAAATATTAGAACCTTCATCCAATAATCATATCAACGATCATTCTCTGTACTCTCAATATACTTACGTAATAATTTAAATTATTAAATAAAAAAAACATTTATCGCATCCGTCTAGGGCACCCACAGTTAGGAAATAAACCAAGAGTTATATATGATTGTATTGACAACCCTGAAAAACATGTTGAACAGGTAGACAATAAATAAAAATAAAAATAAATATCAAATAATCAACTTTTGTAAAGATATCAGTATATTTACTAATATTTAACCTCATTGTTGTAAACAAATTTATTCCTCCAACGTATGATTTTATTTTAAAGTATATTGTTAAGTTAAATTGTAAAATTGTTTTTGTCGAATATAATTCCTGTAATCACACCATAATGTAATACACCTATAACTAGTTGAATGTGGCGTATATACGCTGTAAACAGTTTTGAAAGTATTTATGACATGCATAGCTTTGTTCCAAATAAGTTCTCACAATCTCTAGTATTGGAAATATCAATGAATTGTGGTCTCTGATGTTTTACTCCTGTTCAAAAATTCTCAACATCCAATGGCTTTGTATGTCCCCTACGAATTGGTTATGAACAGTCGCGGCTGCGGCAGGGAGGCGCTAGGGACACTGCCCC